GTAACTTGGTAATTTTCAGCATAAGAAAATGGACAAAAACCAGGAAGGAAACAATAAAACTTGGGGGATAAACCGCTGGCTGTTTGGAAGTATTTAGCAGAGTGGTACTTCTACTTCTTTATAAAAGTTTATTTTTATTATACAATAAGGAATAAGAAAACTAAATATGACGCCCATCCCAAAAAATATACAAGACCATACCCTGAACTTTAATGCCCGTATGCTACTGTACGGCCTCACCACTCCCCTCTCTCACTCACCCACTGTCTCTTTACTACATTTACTCACATTGGGAAAGCGCTTTAAAAGCGGTATTTTTTTCGGACTTTTCGATACACCTAAATTATCAAATTTCATATCAAATGGTTTAATTACAAACGGTAGCCATAATCCCATATAGATTTTAAAAAATAAAGACGATGCAATCTACAAGGCGGGGAGGGCCGGGCCAAGCTTAGCCATGTCATTGACTCTTGGCATGGGCCAGGCCTGGTTTAAGGTCGGGGCCAAACTCTTGAGCAAAACGTAAGGGCCTAGGCTTGGGTTACATAGGGTCGAGCCAACGGGGCTATACTGGTCTGGGATGACCCATAGTCACCCCTACCCATCATGTTGAAAGTGATTTTTGAGAGAAGTGGAACATAAACGAGAGTGAAGGGCAAAGGGCCATGTAAAGAGCTCATGAGTGAAAGTAGCAAACACATTTTGACCCAAATTGTTGGCAAATATTATTCTTTACTCTCATTTGGAGCACCAAGATGAAGCATACAGTTTTAAATTTTGGATCTATCGATATCCTACTTTTTTTCAATTAAAAGGTTCTAACATGCAATACTAGCCATTCATTTTTTTGAGATCTAATTTGTGCCATTGGGACCATGTTGTCTTAATATTTTGCGTGTTCATGTGATCTCCCTCTGTAATTTTTACTCACCACCAGCCCACTTACCCTAAACATGATTAACACCTATCTCCTTCATCCTTCATTTAAAGCTAAGGTTTTAAAAATTGCGAATATGAACCAAGAATAGCGTATTCGGATTTAATCCTATAAGAAATTGATGTGATTCTTTAACGAATTCAGGTGCTTGTCTGACTCAGTAGAAATTACTCGCTTCTATCAGAAAACCGAATCATTATGTCAGTAAAATGGCGATCTAGGTCAAAGAATTGAGTGATTCACCACGTAATTTAATAAGGAGCTTTTGATGTGCAGGTTTGAGAGATGGTGGAGATGTAGCACTTGTAGGAGTTTTTCTGATATGTAGGTGTTAAGTAATAGTGCAAGTGTAGCATTTGTTATAGTCTATGTAAGTTTGAAAGTCAAATTTTTGAATTGTCCAAAATATTTTAAAAATAATAATAATAATATATTTGGACAATCTAAAAATTGGACTTTTTATTCACAAAAATATTTAATTTTTTGTATAATGGAAGCCAAAAAAGTCAGACTTTCAAAACATCTAAACACCGGTTCAATACAAGGCAGCACGAGCCAAAGAACTATGGAGCCTTGGCGGTTCCAGGTTAGGAACCTAGAACTTAAATTTTCATTGGAGATGCATGTTTTGGATTTCTAAGCCCAAACATGGTGGGGTAATATAGTTGTTTTGCCGGAGTAAAATGATGATTCCATCCCCTATTGAGGGTTAGCGACCCGAAACTCATTTACATTATTTAGTTAGTGCCAGTTAAGTGACTAAATTAAAATATTTTATTTCTTTCAGGTCAAAATCCAAAACTAATACAATTTCAATTTTTTTAATATTATTTTAATAAGTACTTCATCATTATCATCATTAGAGTTTTTATTTCTAATTATTTGAAGTCGTCTATACAAATCCTGGTTCATCATTTTATTCTAGGTCATACTTTTAGTGAGATCATAAACCCCAATATCTTTTCCCACTACTTTTAACTATGTCCTTTTCGGCTTATCCTTTTTAACTTGCTATTTGAACATACTCACACCTCCTACTATGCATTGTGCTGAGTTTGTGTTGTATATGGCCAACTTACCTAAGTTTATTTATTTCCTCTTATCTCTTATTGGAGCTACCTATAAGTTCTTTTTAATGTACTTATTTCGAATTCTATCCTTTCTTGTCTTGCCACTCATTCATCTCAATATTCTGATTTTAGCTATATTTATCCTGTGGGTATGATATTTCTTGACCGCCTAATATTATTTTTCATAAGTATTTATAAATATATAAATAGGTTGATTTGACTAAGTTGACAATTTTTTTGAATAATTTAACCAATTTTATATTAGAAAAAATTGCATAAAACCCTCCAAAATGGACTTTCTAATCAATTTACCCCACTTAACTTTTCCTAACAACTCGCCCTCTAAAAATCATGTTTCCTAGCAAATATCCCGTATAAAAAAAATTCATTTTTTTTTACAAAAATACCCTTCTTGTACATAAAAAATTATTTTCGACATACCACCACTTCAAAACGCCATACTGTCTATTTCTCCAATAGCATAATCTCAAACTGCCACAATGAAATGCCAGACCGCCCATTCGAGCGCTCTATAGTTGGTGCCTTCAGTAAAGAGCTCCATGTTTGGAACTCCTCCTTCCTTTTGCTATTATGCTATTATTTGTCTGTTTCTTTGGATATTTAGTAGTCATCATTGTGAGGAGCAGCATCCATAGGAAGAGAACCTACCACTTTTGTGTTGGCAAAGTCTCACAATATTGGATTCTCCAAGCCATAGATATGGATGTGGCCTTCAAAAGGGGAATCACCATCTCAAAACTAGAAGGGATCCAATGGTTTGGGTATCCACATAAGTGAAAACGGTGGTTCATTTCCTATTGATAAGTACAAAAGTCTCAATACTAGTAAGTGATCTAAAAAATGCCTATTCGACTTCAAATAGCTGAGCTGGATCGTAATAAGGAGGTAGACGATTTCAGATAGAAAATCCCCAGGTCTTCCCAATTTTTTTTATGTTTTTTTTTTTTTAATCTCTTTACAAACAGTAACTTGGTCCAACTCGGAAAATCATCAAAATTGGACCCTTGCAGAGCTAGGGCTTGATTATCGATTTGTAGACATCAAAGCTGATAACTAAATCATTAATGTAGAGTGAAGTTAGCTAGTACGGAAAAAGAAAAATAGAAGGTCTTTAACAAACCTATATTTTTGAAAATAATAATAATAATAATAATAAGTGGGACCAGATAGACGAGTTCTCTGAAATAACCGACAAGTTTTTTCAAGGAACCATCAATTCGTATCAAGAACCAGCAGGTTCTTGATATATTGGGACTAAATCGGATCCCAATTTTTTATCCAAATCAAATGATTCTGATCCAAATCTAAAACTTTTTTGAACCCTGTTCCAAATAAACATATAATTTGAATTTTTATTAGCATCATGACAGTTAGGTACGAGGGAAGGGCATAATTTTGGATGGGCATCGTCGTCAATTGTTTTTACCGGTGAACATTGGCATTACGGTCAGGCTGATTTATTAGAAAAAAGAATTTGACAACAAAAAGAAAAAGGAATAAAAGAATGAGAAAAGTTTATATAGAGCTGAGGCTCTAAACCATCAAATTGGAACCTACCTCAAAATTTTCACTAGAAGAGGTTGTTTTGATGCCCAAATATCCTCAAATTGATCATCTCAACATCAAGATGTATGGATATGAGAAAAAAATATGTTTGAACTTTTGAAAATAGTGTATTTTGTAACACATTTATGGCCAGTCAATTTTCAATATTTTCAAGTTTTCATAAATATGTCAATCTACATTTTTTTGAAGCTTTAAACTTTACAAGCAATAATGAAAATATATTTTAAGGCTATCACAAAGATTTTTAGTATTAACATCACATTTCTCCGATACTATTTGAAGGTTGGCTTTAATTTGATTGTTTAGAGCCTAGGCTCTATAAAAACTTTTCACCAAAGAATTAAAGGAAAAGAGAAAATGGTGCTGCAGCTACCTCCGCTGGCACAACTGATCAAAGGTTCAAAAGGCTGTCCCCACTTTAAAAAATCACACATAAATTATTTAAGTTTACATTAAAAAAGAAAATTATGAAAAAGTAGAGAGAGAAAAAAAAAGCATTTAAATTCGAAATTATAACAGAAAATAAAAAAGAAAAAAGAAGAGAGAGAGAAAAAGAAGAGAGAGAGATTCTTCTCAGATCCAAACCCCAACGTATCCGAACACACCCATGCGACAAATCCCTCTCTCTCTCTCTCTTACCCTGTCACCAGTCTTCTCTCTCTCTCTCTCCTACCTCTCACTCCATTCTTCTCTCTCTCTACTCTCTCCTCCCTCTCTCTTCTTTCTCTCTCTCTCTACCTCTC